TGACTTCATGACTGTGGTAGAAAAGCAGCCTGTGGAAATTGTGTCCCCTACCATAATCCAAAGGGGAAGGCTACATTGCCCAGGGCTCCAGCCTGCTTGGATGGTGGGTGTACATATAAGATGACGGGAGTAGGGAACTAATGTATATTCATCAAGGCAATCCTTGTGTTTCTGGGAAGTTACTAATGTGACTTTTTGGGGCAGATTTCATACACCAACTGCAGTAAATATTCTCCTACTGCTTGCGGCATATTTATAGCTGTCAGTGTTGTGACAGCATTGTAGATAGCTACTTCTTGTGCCGAAAGCAGCCTAGATACAGCACCAATGACTGCAATTCAGACTAAGTCCTAAATATTTATTGGCTTCCTGAGTAGATTTTACAGCCTTCACTGAGCTCCAGGCTTTTGTGGCTAGGCTGCTGTCACTAGGAAAGATAACTAGTTTAAAGATAGCTCAGGTGTGTCTGCACTTCACTCATGGCACTGACAGCAGCATAAACGCATCAGTTAGCACTCCTAGAATTTGCATCACTTCAGGTCAGGTGCCATCTGTCAGCCACATACAAACCAGAAACAAAGCTGGTAAAAACAATATGCCTTTTAAAAGCCAAGGAAATACAAAGCAGCTGCCCTCATGTTTCTCAAAGGTAGGCCATTTTTATCCAGAAGGCGCTGCTTGTTTTCTAAGACTGTACCACAGGGACAAACTTCCTTCTCCATTATCACACTGTGCCTCCAAAACATGAGGAAGAGTCTGCTGCAGGCACGAAAAGACAATAAACTACTTACAGACAGTGCGATCTGTAGGGAAGAGTCAGGATTTTGCTAGTGGTACGGTAGCAGCAGCCAGACAGGCTGGGCAGAAGTTTGAAGACCAGTACAGCAAAAATTAAAACTGAATGGTTAAAGTACTTCTTGTGCAACTCTAGCCATCCCAGTTGAGTTTTCTGTACTTATTCTATTAAGCCTCCCAGCTCTTTCTCAGTGTGTTGCTGTTTTAAAATCACTTTGGAATTTGTTATTAGCTGCTTTGCAGTCGAAGAGCCAAGTGTTATGTTCAGCTGTAAATGAACATGGTTAACATGCAGATTGCAATCTCTCCCCATCCTTAAGCACGTGGTATGACCAACTTTGTTCCACTGGGAGAGCATGGTAGAGCACATATAGCCCACTGCCCTGTTCTGTGGGGTCAGATTTAAACTCTCCCTGATTTGCTTCATTTGTTACTGGAACTTGAGATACAGTAATTTGTGGTAGCAACCAAAGTAGCAGTTGTGGATTCCAGTTTTCACTCATTCTGACTGGTACCTTCCTTCTTTTCTTTCTTTCTTCATCATGCAGCATTGAACACTATTTACTCAGCTGTGGCCTGGAGACAGGAAGGAGCAATGTGGTCATGCACCAAAACTGCCCTTGTTTATTCCAAGCAGCTCTTGGCAGACAATATGGTGCAAATGTAATTTTCTGCATAGTCTTCACTGACCTTGCTGTAGGCAATAGGAAAACAGTCATCACAGCAAACTGTGGACACCTCCTAAGGTCTGTGGTGATCCCCCTTCCAGTGTAATAGGTACCCATCTGTAGTCTGAAAAATTGATATGATTTATTGGTCAGGCTCCTGGGGTGTCTAACGGCTGAGTTGTCTGATGGCCTAAAAGAGTCTGCCTGCCTACTTCAGTGACTAATTTGGTGCCGTTTCTCCAGGCATAAGAAACAAAGGGCTTCTTTCTTTAGAGAAGGAACTTCTCTGCACCACTTCAGCTTTTTGTGCAGTTCCCATCTAAACAGACCATTGACTCAAAGACTGAAACTGATTCCACTTTTATTGACAATGAACTTCACCCTCTGATGTGCCGGTTGGAGATGATCTCTGTCACCCTTTCCCAAAGTCTTTTTGAGCAGACTTCTGCTTTTGCTATGTGTTGCTTCATTGTTTTGTGATGGAGGAATAAGGATGATGCTGTGACTTGGTATGAAGAGGGAGGAGAAAAAGACAGCATAAATTACTGTAAGTTTAAAAAGTATGTTATTTCCAGCAAGTGAGACATCTCTACTTATGCCTCAAAACTAATGCTTGCTTAGGGCCCAGTTACGCTCTCAAGCTGCTTTGGTCTAGCAGCCTGACAGGGACTGCGAACAAAGTGCAGCTTTCTCAGGAAACCTCATCCTTCAAAAAAAACCTTAAAGTCCTTCACCTTCAGGGGGAGAAGGGAGGAGGCTAAGATTCAGAATTAATGAAAAGGGGCTTCGCTGATGAAAGTGGGCAGATTATCCTCATAGAGCCTGTCTGCTCTGAATGCATGAGGGATGCTTTGTACGCTGCTGGACACCACACTGTGAAAATCTAAAGGAGATCAAAGCAGAGCCACAGATATGACTGGGCTAGGTAGGGAGGGATGTAGAGGGTAAGATAAACTTAAACGGATTTAACTTTAAATAAGTATAGTTATCAGTTAAATAGATTGAATAAGATACAGTATGAAGAAAGAATTATTATAATGATCTGTTGACAAATGAAAGGAGAAAATAATGGAGAGCAAGAGGTATAAGGATGCATAAATAGGAATTTGAACTTAAGCAAACAAAAAATGTAAATTGAGTATTGCGTAAAGCTTCTAAATGGTGTGACTCCTTCAGACTTTTTAGACAAAGATCAGAAGTTTAATGCCTAGCATTATTCAAAGCTAGATTTAGAAAGCTGTGAAGAGTAGTTGTAAGAGGTCTATACTGTCCTCTTCAATTATGAGAAAGTGCCTGTTTCAAAAGGGCCTTTTTATGCCCAACTTCTCTCTTTTCCTGTAACCTGCGTCCTGTGCTGAGCCTGTTGAAGATGATTTTATGAAACTTCCATGTACCTTACATGATCAGATAGTTTTCTTAAGAACTTAGGACCAAAATCTCTATTGCTATAAATGGCTGTTGATCTAACAAAATAACAGAGAAGAAAATTTTCCTTCCTCTGTTTCTCTTTCATGATATGACATAGTGAGCTGAAAATTCAGTTAAAAAATATGCATCTTCCTGCTCATGATAACTGGGACTTTTTCAATAATATCCTTTTGCAGTTATACTTAAAACTTGGTGATACCTTCCTTGATGACATTCAAGGAACTGATTAGCTAACATTGCAGGAGAAAACCCCACCATTCCACTGGATACCGTCCCTAACCCAAGCTCAGATAGACACTGACTGAAGGACCAAGATAGTATCTGCAATAGACAGCAGCCTCTGATTTGTGTTTTAGTAAGAAATGACAATACAAAAAAGTTACAGTGCCCTCCATGTTCTCACAGGCATCTATAATTGCAGTGCGGTCACCAAAACTGAACTCAGCTCAGCATTCAAGTTTTGGAAGAAGAGAGATTCTGATATATTTATCCCTACAGTAGAATAGGTTGCACAAAGCCCTGCCATGGCAGTGTAGTTCTGCACAGGCTGGGACTTCCTTCTGTTACAGCAGGTTTCTGACTGCAGAGTCGGCTTTTTTCAGACAGAGCAAAATCACCTTTTCATAGCATGACCCTCAACCTAAGGTGCTTTGTTAGATAGAAAGTCCTCCCAAGAGCAGTGCAAAGTATAGTACTCTAGAGAGTGTCTGTAATGCATGTCAGAGTCTGACAACAATGTTTTTGAGCTGTAGGGTTTCCTGAACTGAAGAGAAAAATAGTAGCGCTCTCCTCACTTTCCTCCTCTTCTCTGGCTAAGAATGTAGGTAAAGGAAAAGTCTCTAACTTAATTTTGGTGACGATTCCCCTGCAGTATTTCTTTAGTCAGCATTGAAAATATTAATTTGTCTGGGTTGGATGTTGCAGTGAAATGTCCCTTTGATACTGCATACCTGCCTCTTGAAACATGGGACAAAGGCGTAGCATTTTCCCTGTCTCTCGCTTTTGTCAAACTGCCAGGCTTTGAGGAGTTGTGGAGTTATGGAGAAGTTGTGGCTGTCATCTGGGACAAGGTTGATTATTTGGATGGGAGCCTAAGGAAGGCTAAGATGTGTCTGTGGCAAAAGAACTCAGGCTCTGTACCTCAGTCCTAATGCCTGTGCCCTTTGGATCCCCTCCCTGACTACTGCTTGGCTCTGCTTCCACCCCTGGCTCTTTCTTCCATACTTTGCATTCTTCTGTATATAGAAGTACTGCAAAATTGCTGCTGTTCAACTAGTCTTCTCCTTAACTCCAGTCCACAGCCTTTTGGACTATGAACATACAATCATGTAGGGCTTTTTGACATCAGTATGTTTCTGTTCCCTTGGGATCCTATAACCTTCCCTAAGAGTCACCTCTTTTAGACTCCTGCTAAAAAAGAGGCCTTTCTTGACCTGTCTTTCACAAAGCTGCTCTCTAAAACATGAATCTTTTGATTGGTTTTCTTGTGTTTTTTGGATCTTCATTCTGTGCTTCCTATAATACAGTGACCAGATTTGTACACACTATTCCAAAAGAGACCATCCAGCTGCCTTACTGAATGCCAAAGTAATAACGTCTGTGGTTTATATTCTGTAGCCTTCCATACACAACCCCAAATCCTTGTTTGCCTTTGTTACTGCTGCCAGATGTTCTGTGGATGGTTTTCAGGCGTATTGTGGTGAATGTCACTATGCCAGTGAATTTCAGCAAATTTAAGCAACTTTGAAATTATTCCTTTTTCCACATGGTTATATTCAAGTCAAACCAAACTGTGTTCTCACTTGAAACTGCCCTGTTTTGCTTACCTTTTTTTCACACTGAATCGCTACCTGTTACCATTTTCTCTGCAGGAGCCTCTTCAATAGGGTTTCCCCTTTATCAGGCCTCTTTCTGATTGTCTTTGCTGGAAACTCCATCTGAAGAGCCCAGCTCTGAGGGTTTGGGGAGCAGTTATATTGTCATTAGTACCCGGTCTACTTGAATTGAGAGCAGAAGGGAATATGAAGGTTTTTTTTTCCTAGAGGAGAAGCAAGGGGAGGGAACAGCCTGTAAAAGACTTATGATGTTCTCACCTCTCTTTTCCTGCAGATTTGCTGACAGCACAGGAATACCACTGCCTGCTGCAGCTGCTCTGCCCTGACTTCCCAATGGAACTCACTCAGAAGGCAGCAAGGTGGGTCATCGTCCTCTCTTTTAAGGCAAGATCAGTCCTACACACACATGGACTTAGGAACTAGATCTGTGAGTAAAGGCATGGACAGGGACCTTCAGCTTTTAAGATTTTGGGGAAAAGAGATACCATGTTTTCAGGTTAAGGACAAGATGTTTTTCTAGCATAAAAAAAAGAGTGTATATTTAAGGTATACAGGGACTGAAATATCAGTGCAGAATGCTGGTGCTGGCTTTACATTCAGAAGATGAGTTGCATATAAAAGAACATTAGCCAATGTGTTTTTAACTGACGTGTTTTTAAACTATTTGAAACACTGTTTACCATCTTTAAAATGTCTTCCCCCTCACCCCAGCTTCCTATGGTTGATCACATTTAAAAGGTACTGACCTCTGAAGGATTGCCAGTGTTTTAAAGTACGTTAGCTAACAACATGGTAGCTAATCTGTTTGAAATTTTATTTTAATCTAGACAAGGCCCAAAGAAGATAGATGGCTCAGGGCACTGATAATGTGATATGGAATTTTTTACTGATAGTGCTTGCTCGTTCCAGGCCAGCCCAGGCAGTTGATTATTAACTATCTGATAGTGAAAATGTAATAAGGTATATGCGTCTGTTGGGGTGGGGGGTCAGTTCAGATCTCAGTAGGAGTGCACACACACGCACATACAATCACAGCAAGGTATACTGAATAAATGCTCTCATTCCTAGCCATCTCAGCAAAGGGGGCACGGAAATTTAACTTTTTTTCATGGACCTAGATATGACATTTGGAAACAGGATCCAGACGCATGATAGGATATGAGCTGCTGCCTGTTTTTTTCATGGCCTAGAAAATGAAAAGGTCCTCACTTTCTAGTTGTCATTCTGTTCTCTGTCTTTAGCATCACAGTCCCATGAAAGTTATATTAAGAAAGAGAAGTGAAAAAGAGAAGTGTTACCCGTCTGCTAGTACTTCCACTGGCTGATTCTCTGAATTCTTGCCTGGCTCCTATGTGTTGCTGTCTGAATTGAACTGCAGTTAAAGCTGTGTTGGTTCAGTTAAAACTAAAAGTTGAGTGCCACTTTTCCCACTAGCTCATCAGTGGGCCTTTGGGGCTCCAGAGAGTACAGTTGCTTGGCCTCCAATGCCAGACAAAGAAAAAATGCTAACCCCATAGCAGAGATAGATCTGATGCTTCTTTTCATGGAGGTACGCAAGCACCGGTTCCATGCGCTGGTGTGTATTTTCATAGGGGCTTCAGCCGAGCTGAGTGGGAATTTGTGATGGTGCATGAAAGGAGACTTCAGCGTATCTACACATGTTATGATGTTTGTGTCAAGGAATTTAATCCACAAGGCTGTTGTAAACTAGAGGCCCCATTCAGGGGCCTGCTGCACTGGTGTGCGTGTGCCGTAGAGACAGACGAGCTGGCTTTGGGAGCAGGTGTTGGAGAGAAATGAGATCTCTGTCAGAGGCACCCAGGCTCAGGTGGGGATGACCTCACTCCTACTTTTGGCTGGCTAGAGATTTACTTACACATTGCTATTATTCTGTTACAAGCTAATCTAGTGGAACAATTTTAATAAAGCTTGTCATATTTCTAAACCATCTTTCTCTTTCCTTCCAACTGTTGCTTGCTCTCTTGTCCTTTTTCTGGTCTACACTTTCCAGTGTCCTCCTTGGTCTCTGCCAGTTGGAAAGATGAACTCTGCAGGCTGTCTTCTGGCACCAGTTGATTGAGTCCTTGCAAAGCATGAATGTCACATGCAAACCCACTGACATTGTTCCTCCTTCAGTCTGCACACCCCCAACGGTTTTGTTGCTAATTTGCTTGGGAAGGAAATTAAATAAAGTAGTGGTGGGAGTAGCATTTGCTGATACAGCCAGGACCTGTGTAATGACTGGCGCTCTTGGGAAGAGAGCAGTCGTGGTTGTAGTCTTGGTGCTGCATGACTGAGATGATCTCACAGCACGGTGCGCTCTGCTTATCCAGGAGCTGTTGCTATGCACTGATAACAAACACTGGGAGTAAGATCAGGAAATGTCAGAGCAGAAGAACAGAGGCTACAACAATACAGGTTTTATTCGCATGACACTGGAGAGCTCCATTTTTCTGTTGCTGGTGCTACACAAATGCAGAAGTCATACCCGAAAAAGAAGTAGGTTATCTGTGTCTGTGAGATTTCTTGGATGTTTTTTTCTTCAAAGGGTTATAGCCATTAGCCGGTTGAAGATTTTAATCTACAGAGATACCTTTGATCTTCAGAGACACCTTTTGGCTTTCTGAATCTTGAAATTGCAGGAGGACAGAAAATGAAGGGATTTTTCTGGTTTGATGCCATGATTTCAAGGTCTGTACCTGAGCACTGACTTTTTTCATGTAATAGAAACACAAGGAACTCGCTGCCCGTATTTGAATAGCAAGAGCTGAGAGATCCACAGCTCTTATGCTGTTTTATGTGGTATGGGAGCTCATGTTGCTCTGATCAGTGCTAATGGAAGTGGGGCTTGCAAGTCTGTACCCCTGTTGTTAAAAGATTGCCTGAGAGTGCAGATCTTGCCCTTTTTGTATGTTCTGCTTATTTTTGCCTGCATTTATCAGTAAACAAACCAAGTCCCTAAAGACTCATTTGAGCCAGCCTAGCCTTTAGACAAATCGTGTCAGTTAGCCTTTAGTAGTAGCAGTGAACAGTAAAAGTCCTTTCAACTTGCCTGGTCTAGAGTTTGTCCTGGGGACATCCTGTCTAGTCTGGGTTTCTGAGATTTTAACCGCAATCAGTGGATCATAAAGTTTCCCCGTTGGCACTGTAGCCAGGCTTTCCTGCCAGCCAAACCCACTGGAACCCTGAAAGACCACTACACCCTTTACCAGAGTCCCTCGAGTGTAGGCATCTTTCTTCAGTCCTTTCCAAAGTTTCTCCTTGATTTTCATTGAGTGCCGACTGCTAACTTTGTAAATAGGTCTGAGCCCGTGAGGGCTTGAAGTCTAATTTGGGCAAGAAAGAATGAATAAAGAATCCCTTGAAATATCAGCTACCTGATGAACTCTTTTGAGTTGCAGTTCAGACTTCCAGATTTTGTCCTCAATTTTGGTCCCGCTCTCTGGGTTACAGTCCATGGCTAGGAATCTCTGCTTGCCAGATATTTCAGGGAAGAGGTGCAGATATGTTGCATATGATGCTCTCCCAGCTTCCCTGACTGCTCGCTCAGCTGGCTATGTGGGGAAATAGCCAGCTGCAGTCAATCTCCTCATAAATGATTGTATTGGATTTAAAGACTTCTCAATGTTTCCGGAGTGCAGACTCCTGGGCCAAGTGGAGTCGGTAACCCAGCACCAGAGTGCACCTGCTTCTATTCAGATGCTCCTGCATCACACATGTGGTGTACAGTCTTCCTTAGAGGCTCCTTCCTGTCTTTAACGGCAAAAAATGGCCAGCAGATTCTCATACCTCTGCCTACTTCCTCATGCTCTGAGGAGAAACTCGGACTTGGTGCTGCAGAGCACAGCCATTGACCATAGCTTTAGATTTAACAAGTGAAATGAGTTGATTGTCATGAAGGTGATGTAATATTGTGTCTCTGCATAACAAAGACATTAAAAAAAGTCTCCACTGTTGTTCTCCTGCATCTCCAGGATGGAGAAATGCACTGGCAAAAGCTTCGGAGCTTCTGCTTTGAGGATATCTGGGAGACAGCCCGTCATTTCAAAGGAGGGAGTGCAGCTCATCAGCGATGTGGCCCATCGCATTTCCAGTGCTTAAATAGTGGTTGGAAATGCCAGTGGCTGAGCAGTATTGCCTGAGAGATGACGATGCTCTGCCTGCCAGCTTCAAAGCCATTTCCTTGATGTGGCCACTGACAATTTCAGTAACATGCTTATTAGTGAGAATTAAGAACTGAAGCTACTGCTTCTTTAGACAGGAGGAGGAGGAGGCTTCTGGAGCATAATAAATAAATCAGAAGCACTTTGACATCTTCAAAGGGTTTTGTTTTAAATACTGGCTTTTCTCCTGGGGACCCTCTTAGCCCCAGTCTTTCTTCTTTGAGATAATTAATTCAAGCTGCTCTACATGTTTGATTTTGCCACAGTGAACAGAACTGGTCTGAGTGGCAGGGAAGTCTTGCAAGATCCTATAACCCTCCTAGGTCAGCCTCCCACACAGCTCCCTGGAGTCTTTTACATGGGACAGAACAGTATTTCCCCAGCAACGTGTTTAGACCATTGATGCTGCAATCTTTACCTGACCACTAGATGTTGTACCAACTACCTTTCTTTAGTATCGTCCAAATTCTCTGGTTTTTCCCATCAAAGTGGAGTGTTTCCTTCTGTTTTCCAGTCTGAGCTGTCATCGATCAGCCGAAGTTTGATTTTCCTCACTTAAGAGACTGACCTTTGCATCCTTATATAGTGGCAGTGACCAGAACACTGGTTTTGTTTTCATTGTTATGAACATTTTTGCCCTAACTTACTTCTGAAATCCAGAGTTTTTTCTTGAAAGGAGGAGTTGGACTTTACTATCACTTACACTTCATCTTTACGGCCTGTGGCTGATACTTCCCATATTCATGAAGTACACTTCAAAATAAGGATGCGTATAGCTTCTTATGTGCACCTGGGGCTTAGCAGAGAGAAAGAAGACATTGTCCGTGGCCCAAGAAGTCTTCAGTTTCTGTGAAATTTGACCTGATAGTCAAATGATAGACCTGACAGATATGAAAAGAGACCTATTCATTCATCGGGAAGGGAGGATAGGATGTTCACAGTGTGTAATTAGAAAGCTGATCGTTGGTGCAATGTTATTTCCTCTGTAGTCAAGTGGAGTTTGTTTGAGTATAGATTGGGAATTAATAACTGTTGTTAATCTTATGAATCTGAAATTATCCCAGTTTGATGAACTCTGGTGTATGGAGGAATAGTATAATTCTTATTCTGCTTACACCAGTTTAATACTCATGTAACTGTCTTGTCTGTAGCACAGTTACTCTTTGTATAGCCGTGTGAACCAGCCTTGCAGTTTTTATGCCAGTGTTCATTCCATCATGTCCACCAGGCTTTGAATGCTTGACATCCATGTCACACTGCTCCGTTCCCACTCTAGCTGAAGTGTGTGATAGCACTGACATTCACGATCTTCTCTTTGCTGCAGGTTCTTAAGCTGCCTTCATTTGATATTAGGGTGTCCACATCCATGCAGCAGCGGGTGTTCCCATTCCTCTCTCCTAACCTCTTAGACTGGGCCAAGCCACTAGCAATCCTCAGTTGCACATAGCTCCGTAGCTGCACTTTCTCTTGATCTGGGGTTCCTGGTTACAGACTTTAGTTCTTTTGTAGATGCTAAACTGTTCCTCTCATCTTGTCCTAGGATTGTGCTGATGGATGATGCTATGGATTGCCTGATGTCTTTTTCTGATTTCCTCTTTGCTTTCCAGATCCAGTTCTACTACTCAGGTAAATGATGTGAAGCTGCTGACTTCATTCACTAATATAGCATTACAACTTTACAGCTTCTCAGTCCCTGCGCTTTTTTTAAACTTGTAAGGATATGGTTTTTCACAGAAAATATATAGATAATGGAATCTACTGACAAAAGGCATCACTGATGCCGAGAGATTAGGAGGCTTCATAAGGAGGTTCTAAATTTTTTGTGAATAACAAGATACCTGTAACTGTTACGGCTTATGCATGTATTTGTCTTAGCCTTGAGACGTAAATTTCCAGCTTTATCTAGAGTATGTTAGTGCCTAACAATGACCTTTTTCTAGGAACACTTTCATAGAATCATAGAATCATCATGGTTGGAAGAGACCTCAAAGATCATCAAGCCCAACCATATACCTGATGCCACTATGACCACTAAACCATGTCTTGAAGTGCCACATCTAAATGTTTTTTGAACACCTCCAGGGACGATGACTCCACCACCTCCCTGGGGAGCCTGTTCCAATGCTTAACAACTCTTACAGTGAAGAATTTCTTTCTAATGTCCAGCCTGAACTTCCCCTGGTGCAACTTGAGACCGTTCCCTCTTGTCCTATCGCTAGTTACCAGGGAGAAGAGACCAACCCCCACCTGGCTACACCCTCCTTTCAGGTAGTTGTAGAGGGCAATCAGGTCTCCCCTCAGCCTCCTTTTCTCCAGACTAAACAACCCCAGCTCCCTCAGCCGCTCCTCGTAAGGCTTTTTCTCCAGGCCCTACACCAGCTTTGTCGCTCTTCTCTGGACACGCTCCAGCAGCTCAGTGTCCTTCTTGTAGTGAGCGGCCCAAAACTGAACACAGTATTTGAGGTGTGGCTGCACCAGCGCGGAGTACAAAGGGATGATCACTTCCCTAGTCCTGCTGGCCGCACATTTTGTTTTCCTTTCCTTAATACAGCATTTCTGCCTCTAAAGTATTGGTCCCTGCTGGAGATGGGGATAAGAAAAGCCCACCAGCTGGTGCCTTGAAAGGAAAAGGAACCGCACAAATGGATACAATTCTTCCCCCTAATACTTAGCCAACTATGAGCTGGTTTCAGCTCAAAGAGTTTCTGAACTGGGTATAGTTTCCATGGGTTTAGGAACCCCCACTGGACTCCTCTCCCAAGAACTGTTCCAGCCTCCCCTTGAAATCACATAAACTTGTAACCTCCACAACACCTTTTGGCAAGGAGTTGCGCAGGTCTGCCACCTGTCCCGTGAAGAACCACCGCTCTTGTTTGATTTGAGAGCCCCTCGTTGGAAGGGAAAGTGAACAGTTAATCCCCATCTACCTTCTTCTTATTGATGGTAATTTATCATATTCTACCCCTCTCCCCCAGTTTGAGTTTTAACTAGATGGGGTACTTCTTTTTAAAATTCTTGACAGGAAAAGTACAAATCAAATAATATTAGTTCGTGTGCATGTATATTTACATATGCTCACCCACACATATACATCTGTAAAATTCCCAAGGTATTTTTAAACTAAAGTTCAGGAGACAAGGGGGAGAAACTTGGATGAGCGTTCAGGCGCTTGTTCTGTACACAGGCTGCTTTAAAATACATTGGGCTGTTTGTCTTAGCCCCCCTAAAATGTGGTTGAGGAAAGGGAATCTCATTCAGGGAACTGCTTAAGTGGGCAAAAAAGAGGGAAGCATTTCCTTTATCCAAGTTAGATATGCACCCAAGCACTGGGGACTGCTGGGGTGTCACTTACTCCTCTGCCAGCACAGGGCACTTTCTAAAGGCAAGGTAAGCTCATGGCTTTCTGTCCCCGAGCACTTAGATAGCTCCCTCTGATGGACGCAGCTCACAATTGGCCTCGACCAGGCAAAAGGGACCAGGTTTGGATACTGGGAGACACTGGATAGAAGCCGTGATGGAGCATAGTCTGTGGTCAGAGAGTAGGCTTGGGTGGCCTGCTCATCTCATCCGACCTGTCAGTTCCAATCTTCCCAGCAGTTAAGAGTCAGCTGCTATCCCTAATAGAAAAATCTCTTTTTCTCAGTACTTCTCCTTATATACTTCCCCTGTAATTCCCCTGTGCATATTGCAACATTATCCATGACAATTCATCAAAGCAAAACAGTTCAAAAATGATGATTTTTTGGGTTGGGCAGAACCAGGCTTGTAATGGCTTTAGACAGGGACAGAAAATGTGTTTGGAAAGTTTTTCTCTGGTATAACAAATATTTCCACTGAGCTACAGAACCTCAGCACAGCCTCAGGGTCTGCTGACATCCTGCCTTTCCTCTCCACCCGCCTCACGCACAGCATTACGCTTCCATTCACTCGGGACTTAAATGCCACCGGAGTACACAAGCCTGGCCTTGTGTACATGCACTGAACATCCCATCCCTGTCCTCTTCACCCAGGCACAATGCACACACGCAGCCTGTCATACGCTCTCCCACCAACCCACACACATGCAAACCACTCCAAATGGAATCTAGATTTGTAAACTGCTGACCACATCCATAAACAAACTTGTTTAAAATTAGACTCTTGCAGTAAACAGTGGGTAGTATGAGGAGCCTGGGGACAGGCTTTCTGCCAGCTCTAGCCCTGACCTGCCCTGGCCCTTCCTCTAGATCCCGTGTTATATTTACTTTGGAGCAGCACAAAGACAAGCTCGGATGCAGCCTGGAGCCCTAACTTGCTCCCTTTCCTCCTGTTGCAGTTCCATATAGTTTGTTCCCAACTTGGATAAGTTCTTAATCAGTGGCAAGAGATGGAGAAGGAAAACCTTTTAAATTTTGCAAGCTAGTTTTGTGTTCGACGTTAACTTTCACACTCCACTGTTTTATCCATGTGCTAGCGAGCCTCTGTTCCCTTGAGAATAATCTTGTTCAGCACAGTGAGTGGCCGCTCATAATCATCCTGACAGGAGGAAGCCAGCAACTTATATGGAAATGGCTGTTTGTACCTGCATAATATCTGATCTGAATATGCAGGATGCCGTGGTGGTGTGCTTATTTCCTGTTGGTGCTATGTACAACACAGAGCAGGGAATTACAGTTTAGTCCCAGGTCTGGTAGGTCAGGAGGATGCTTCGCTGGTTATAACCCTGAGTTTTAAGTCGCTTTCTGTTTTTTCAGAGTTCCTGGAAAGTGTGGCTGCCATATATCAAGATCTACTGGCTGGTAAGAATCCAAATACTGTGATTGTGCCAACATCGTTCTCTGGGCAACATCGGCAGCGCCAACCCCCAAGTGACTGCAGCCCACTCGATGGGGTAGAGGCATCTCTCTTCTACCAGTGCCTAGAGTCCTTGTGTGACAGATCAAAATACAGGTATGAATGGAGTCCAAAACACAGATTTGAAGTCTGTGTCTCTGGAGACCCTTTGTAACATTGGAGCTATGAAGAAATACAGGACTCTGAACAAGCTGTAACTCCCAAATAGATCTCACTGGAGAAGTATGAAGGAAGAGATCATAGCCAAACCGCTTTAACCAGAGGGAAACAATTTCACGGACCTAAGAAACATGGGAGTTGAGCTGATTCTTGAAGTAATGGATTGATTTGGGTCTCTGCTTTCCTTCTCACTTCTGCCTTGATGCTTTGATCAAGGAGAGGTCCATCTACCATCATGAGTTAACTAGAAGAGATAAAAAAGTGCAGATGTGTTCTTGGGTGTTGAAGCCTAGGAAAGGCCTGCTGGGGTGGATGGAGTTTGAAGCCTTTAGTACCTAGACAAGATCACGCTGCTAGTCTGCTCTGGAGCCTGTGATGGAGCTGATCTCCAGTTACAGATCCCAGGCACAAGACTAGCCTTAGTTGAGCAGGGGATGGAGCAACACGAGACCTTATTGTACAGATTTGACAGACACTTTCTTCATAGTTTCTTGCGGGTAGCGAGCACATGCCCTGCTAGAAGGTCATGGGCTAGATCCGCAAAAAGACTCAGGACGCAAGTTCCACCGC